TTCAATTTTGTTCAAGCTGGAATGAATGTTACACCGTTCGTCTCCGTTGACCAAATACGACCCCCGCTGCGGACCTTCCAGCATATGATGTGCCCTTTTCCTGCGCTAGAATGTTGTGGATTCGCGAATGCGCTTGCACATTTGATCTGGCAGACAGCGCTGCTTCTTGAGATTATTTTTCCCAACAAGTTACAAGTTCAAAAAGTACCAACAATTCGGCCCATTATATTTCGCCCGAGTCCTGTCTTCAAGAATGGACAACCTAGAGGTTCCCAGGGGCGTTAGAAGTAGTTGATAGCGACCAAAATATCATGAAATGACCGTAGGTCGTACCTCCAAATGTCATCCTTGAAGCCAGTCCCCGCGCCAATCCAGTTTATAGAGCTCCTTTTTCGCACAAGTACTCTGACCCGCTGTCTCGAAGGTCGCCGTTTTTTCGCGGCTTCACAGAGACTAGTTAGCGCTACGGTTTCACGAAAGGCAGTTGTGACGCCTTCTTAGTTGCCCCGCCCACCAGAACCCAGAAGCAATGAGTCTGCCACGAAGTCAGTATTCACACGATGTTTTTCTTTTTTCCCCATCTGTTGGATGCTGTTAGCATTGGATGACGCGAAGAAACGATTTGTAAGCCGGAGGTTGCGGGATATCGCTTTGTTGGTATAAAATGAGCAGGTGGCTAGAACTCGTACAGTGAGGCTGCCAGGGCCAGGGTTCTTAGGTGTTCTCGTGAAATTCTTGCTTTTCTCCCCGCTGAAGAGTCACTTGGCGGCAATGGGATTCGTAATTGAACGCCGCTATCCACAATACGCAATTGCGGGGTTTGTCTTTGGACGGTTTCTTTTTTTCCTCTCCAATTTGCTTGATACTAGGGCGGGGTTCCCTTCTTTGGTTTATTATAGATGGTTCCGTCACCGGTTTCTGCGATGCTGCAGGTGCAACGAATTCATTACGTTGGATTGAGATTTCCTGTGGCGCCCTTTGTCTATCGGACTTTTTCGAAGCCTTCAGCCAAAACCAAATAATTGCGGTTTCACAACGGGTCTTTTGAGTGGCGCTGTTCAACGACTTTTCCAGGGATTCGGTGCCAGATGAATTTATCAGAACTGTTTTTTTCCTATAACTGGCATTCAAGTTGGATTCCTCATATCACGGTTTCACCAATTTGGCCCTTTCCCATCTTGTTGACTATATCAGCCATAAATTGACGTGAGATGGGACAAAAAGCAGAGCAAGCGTCATATTACCTCCAGAGCTCGGGGTTAAACAGCAGTTATCATAATGGAACTTATGAGTAAATGTACTTACTCAATAAAAATAACTAACCTACTTTAACTCACCTTATGGTTCTACTTGATAAAACTCGGATTTTAGGAAATCAGGATCGCCATCACTACGAATCTTTCGCAGTATTTGAAAATTTGCCTTCATACGCCATTCACTTGGACAACGGACGAGCGTGAGTCATTACATTGATTTTTTATTGAATTAATTCAGTGCAAATCAAACCTTGATTCAAAATAAGTTATTGTGAGCCCTAAGGAGCCGGGCTTCATTCTCTGATAGGTAACAGCCACGCAGGAACAGAGGGAATGTGTGAGAAAATCAGATTCGATGACGTCACTCGGACGCTCCCATGGTCTTTGTGAACCCATGGAACTTTCCGCATTTCTCAGCTTAAACTTGTTCTCTTGCAACTAAAAACATTTTTCCGTTACAAATAATCAAAAATCATCGATACCTGACATCGTACTGACCTAGAAATACAGTAGGGGAACAGAATCTAGGAAAAAAATCGTTCTTTCAATGGAATTTTATGATTCTAACACCTTCGGAACAGATGGTAATTACAGACATTTCTTGGAACATTTTATTTGAGGAGCAGAATTTTTATCTATAACTTGGAGAGCATCCAATAAAATCCTGAGAATTGCGATACAGTTCAGTTCCAGGCTTTTTTTTTCCATACTATAAGTGACTACCTTTTGTCCCACATCTGCGGACCTTTGGCCTCAATGGTTTACTTGTTCGTTTGCACTGCCCCTTCTTGAAATCGATCGCCGACTCATTTCCATCATTTCATCAAGTCCCCTTCCAATCTATCTTTCCTGATTGTTTAAAAGTCTCGCGGCAAGGTGGAGCTCGCATGGGTTTCTGGGAAAGGGTTCACCACACAAGGGGGGGGGTGGTGGCAGGAAACAAAACTCTGCTCACGACGCGTACTTCAAAGGTTTACGCCGCCCCAAGTGTCAAAACGCATAATAGATCTAGAATAACGAGATATTCTTTTGAAGGCAAAAGTAGTGTGACACCGCTCACAACGAGCAGCGTGAGGGTGAAATTTTGGATTCCCTTCCGTCCTAGCCAAGCCTTCTATACCTAGGGGCCAGTTAATTGGTACCATACTTGTCTGGAGGTATAATAACATTGACCTGCACATCGCTGGCCCGTATTTCGTTCTCTAGTTTGATTCGCACTCAAATTGACACTACGATTTTGGATGGAAATAGAGGCACAGCGCATTCTAGGTGGGGGGGGGGGTTCGTTATGCCGAGAGCCTAATACTTCCCATATAGACTGGGGCTCTATATTAGAGAGCGCATCCTTTGTGGTGTGGGTGATAAATAGAATTTCTGCTGTCGACCAATCTTTTCTTCTCTAGCCTCGTCCTTTGTATCACAAAGGAGGTCAGGAAATTGAAGCATACAGAAGACGAGAGCAAAAACGTCCCCCATTTGACCCGATTCACGTGCACTCTAATTAAACTTCTTAAATAGACGTCTGAAGACAATATGAATAGCGCTCTGTACCAGTTCCGTCATGGAAATAGTAATGTACTTCAAACCCTTCGTGAACCCCAGAGGATCAGAAGAGGTACACTCAATGATTTATAGCCATTTGTATAGCAACATCATTCGAAGTTCGGAACAAGTTCGAGGAGCAAAATGAATGACAAGGTCACAGTGCAAGATATCTTGTCTATGCATTCATATCATGCCAGAGTGCGAGTATGTGACAGGACAATCGTAATTAGCCGCGCTGGTGGACGTCGCGTGCGTCGTTGCACTCGCAAATGGCGTCGATTCTAGTCGTGGGTTGTAACAGTAGACAATGTATAGCCAGAAGTAGCCGCATTGTCTACGATGTAGTAATCCGCCTGGAATTCGGTGCTTCAAGCAACAGGCTAAGCAAGCTGGTAAAACATCGCACCCATCGCCGCGCGCGGCGAGGATTACGATTTTACCGTGCCGACCAGGATACATATAGAAAAGCGTGAGCAGTGCCAAGGCTCTTCACCGTTGAAGTCGGAAGGTGGTACATTATCAAGAATCCCTCGAAGCTCTAGAGCGAAAACGTACAACTACACTTTCGTTGACAACCCTATTTTGTGAAGTCTGGACCCGTGCATGATAGCGCTCCGTCTCTCCTTTACTCGCTCACTCTCCATCTGCACGTGTATGGATTGACGTGCACGACCTTTCACACCGTTCAAATCCCGCAATCCCGCACGATGGAATTCCAGAAGATCGAAGTACACACTCAATGACAGTACTGTTGTTGCAAACTTTCGCGCCGCCTTTGTGGACGAGCTCTCTTAACCTGCTCGTTTTATGCTAGCGAAGCGATGTCCTGCCGCCTCAGAGTCAGTTATCGTTTCTTCGCGCCATTCAAAGCTAATGCCATCTAATAGTGAAAACAACAATAAACACGGTGTAAAAATTGAGCTCTAGACACAAACTCCATTGAGTTTCAGTGGGCGGAGCAACCAGGGAGGCGTCACAACTTCCACTTATTAGGGCCGCAGGGCTATTAGGGCTTCGCTACCTACTGTGAACCTGCGAAAAAGTATGTAAGTTACAGTCACAGTGCGGACCAGACTACTTAAACAAGGAAGGACGCCTAAAAATCGCTAGAGCGCGGGGAGTGGCTTTACCATTGCCTAGGCAATATCTTCGACGGATTATTCATCACTGATTCGTCTGACACAGCTTCCCCACATCTTTTTTCCCGTCACAATCCTATTGGTGATTATATTGATGTGTGTCGGCTGTTGTCTACAACGTATTAATCATTGAAATATACTGGACGCTCATTGCAACATTACAACAGCGAGCGATCGGCACGTTGACGTATGCGTCCTCCAACGGATTGCAAGAAATTGCGGACGTCGGGAAAAAACCAATCACCTCGATTGCTATTCGTTTCGTTCGTGCAGAAATTAGACAGGGGCCGACTTCGTATTGCTTCTGCAGAAAACAATCATGCCCTTTAAGTTTTCAATTACTGCTGTAATTCGTAGCAAACTCTTTTTTATTACGGTTTTTGGATGATTAGTTATGTAAGAATGCCATATAGTGATTCATATTGCGGACCAATTCCCAGAAAAAAAGATGTTGCAACGTATAAGGGACTACGGTTAGAGGCAGTTTTCAGGATAAATCCTAAGACGAGTAGGGTTAATACGCCTGGCAGGACGGAATTCCGCGACCTGAGCAGGCGCTGCGTAGCGCCTTTTCCAAGGAAGGTACCCTTATAAGGCCCTATCAAGCTGCAACATACCGACCCGGACGCCCACCGCGCCCGCCCGCCCACAAATGGACGACCGTACCTCCTGCTCGGTGAATTTGCTAAGTGAAAAATACGGCGCGAAGGGATTGACACGAAGTGGTCGCGGTGCTGCATGGATATATGAGTACATACGTGCAGCCGTACCTACCGTAGCGGTTATTGGCAAGATGCCTACGGGAAACTCGTCCGAAATTGCTTTTCAAGTCATTAAGAACGAAGGCTTTTCTTCGCAGGTTTTTGACCGCTTTCACTTCGCTTTTTCGCCGCTTTCCCACTATTTAGCACCCCTGCTACCATTTTAGACAGAGTACTGAATTATCTTGCCGATTGCCTTTAAAATAGCTCTCTTTTTTGCAACAGAGCCTTAATGCGATAGTGTACTGCTTTTTATACAGTACCATTTTACTTTGGCTTTTACAGTTGATTTCAAAGTAATGTTAGTGTTAGTGACTATCGCTGAAACTAGCAGTAATTTGTTTTTATCACTATTTTTGATCTGGTTAATTAACGGACTAACTTTTTGGGCAAAAGGTATTAAACCATTTGGTTCAAGGGCAGTTTGTACTACATGTCCTTTGTAGAGTTCCATTTTAGTCTACCTTTGAATGTGTAAGACGCGATATTTTGGTACTAGCTCAAAAATAGTTGCAGGGGTGCTATATAGTGGGAAAACGAAGAAGCGAAGGAAAAGCGAAGGTAAGCGCTCAAAAACTTGCGAAAAAGCCTTGGTTCTGCACGGCACTGGACGGAGCGAGTTTGGACGAGTTTCCCGTCGGCTTCGCGCCAACAATCGCCTTGATAGATTCGGCTGCATGTATTTATTTATATGTCCATGTAACAACACTACTTATCAATTTCTCTTCATAAAAGAAGCGATAAGGGCATCGATGTGGCTGTCCAGTCGTTTGTGGGCGGACGGTTGCAGTGGGCGTCTGGGTCGGCAGGTTGCACCATGATTAGGCGCTATAATAGAATAGGTCCCATGCAGCCCCTCACAAGATTCTTTCCTGCTAAACGTATCGACCCTGTACGCCTTGTCGATTTAGCGTGCCGCGCGCCTTTAAGTCAAGTGCCAAGTTCATTATTTTTTGCTCGTTTCCATATCTTTTCAAAAGGCAATGTATTAGAAGCTTGCAATGCCCCTTAATGCTGAATTTTCATAATTACTTCGGATTTCATCGAGTTGTAGATTTCTTTTTTTTCCACAATTTCTCCATATATTCACGGAAACCGCGTATTATGTATGGCAAGCGCTCCGTATTCATGTCCATATTGTGTGCATAATTTTATAGTAAAAAAATTATATATAGCCATTGTTTCTTTCATTGCACTTCGGAGCTCTTATTGGACCTTTCACAGTGGAATTTCTCAGAGAGAGGGAGGGAGTTCTGATACGAGTTTCGTCATTTGATAATTATGAAGTATTGTTTAAAAGGAGTGATATTCTGACTGACGGTTTTTTCAGTTTTGGTCGAACGGACATCGATGACGACGACATTATATTGCCTTTACGACAATGCTGTGTTATTCGGCCGTCAACCCTCAACACCTTGTTACGATTTTATGCTGAGCCACAGTCCCTCACGAGGACCCTCCACGCGTGAGTTCCTTTTTTTAAAAATATAATTTGATATGATATGAGGCGGAGGCGGTGTAGTGACAAGTGGCGCGCTTACCACTCGCGCGGTCCCGGGTTCAAATCCCGGGTCGACTCCCGCCCAGGCCAACCAAGCCTTCTACCTCCGGGGACGGTAAATTGGTACCAGATTCGTCTGGGAGGATAAAACACTGACTTGTACATCGGCTGGCCACCGCAAGTCATTGTATAGGCCACATCGCATTCAATAAGCCACTACGATTCAATGGAAGTAGAATGCGTGCCGCATCCCACAAGCTACTTAGAGCTCTTATTGGTTGACCATGGAAATGAGTGCAGTGTAGTTTACGACTGAATTAATGTACCAGTCAGCCGAACATAATGGAAGGCTTACAGCGGAACATGAAAAATGAATTTTAACCCCAGAAATGAGATCCAGATGGGATTTTCTTCAGCGCTTTTATGAAACGGTTATCAGACGAATTTCGTTGCGATTTTTCTTGTCGATTAAATAAGGGACCTGAGTAAATGTAACTGAAATAGCCCATCTCATATGGGTAGACTTTTATTTGGGCTTGAAGAGAGACTTCTGCCCTTGCGCCATTGTTAGAGCGCCCGCCAGACCACCGAGTGCCCACGTCCAGATAACCGGTACCGTACTCAAAGTGTCATTCCAAATATACGCTGGTGCAATCTCTTTGACCGGAATCGTTCCACTTGAGGGATCACTTTGTGTGTAATCCATCAGGGTCAAAAAAATGAACAGCTGTCATTTTTGGGTCATCGTTGGAGTTTTTCAGGTCGTTATCGAAGGATCCAGTTGCGCCGATTCTGGCATACAAGCACTATGTTGCCATAGAGAGACGATTAGGCAAATGTGAGTTGTTCGATCGTAATTATAGGGATGTAGCTGTAGCTTAGATATAGTGGACAAGGTCCTAGGGCACCTCTTCGTGGGAACGGACAAGACAATCGTAATTTATCGCGTCGTCACGCGCAGCGCGGCGAATTCTCGATCTATATTAGAATGATTAGCTTGTCAATTGGAGCAACAAAAGTTATATGAATTCAAGTGGAGACAAGGCTTCCATGACGGCGATATCGAATTTTCCCGTACCTTCAACCCTGAAATTTAAACGGCCTGGTAGGACTACTCGTCTTGGGGCGCCATGCCGCTCGCCACGCCCGCTGGCGCGGCATATTGCAATTATCTTGTCACCCTTTCCGATAAATCTTTACTGACCCGCTAAGTGAATAATCATGTGCGATTTATCCTCACATAATTTTTGATTATTCGGAACTTTTGCTTCTCCAAAGCGAGTTCTGCGTGATCTAGGCTTTATTAGAACAAATGGAGTACAACAGCTAAAATGTAAAATATTATATGAAGTACAATGTTCCTAGCCAGGAATGTTTCTTGAACAGGCTATTAAATCACGCTAACATGAAAGACCACCCTTTGCTTACAGGGACAGTGTTTGCTCCTCAATGTTGAATCCTTCACAATCAGTTGGAGGGCAAACTAGTTATGCAGCGTTCAGACTCGGCGCGCTGTACAACAACGCGCGTTAAAGCGCTGCAACGCGCGTTAAAGGGCAGCAGTTACAGCAGTGCTCAAGAGCTATAAACGAAAGCGCAGCCGCGGACGGCAGGCGCGATCGATTCCTGTCCGCGAAGGCTTGGTCGATAGGCGCCGCCGTTGTGTCTCAAATCTACGCTCCTCTTTCCCCATACTCTCCCGAGACTTGGGCCGGCGCCCATGAATTCAGCCTTCGCGGACGGGAACGCGTGCTGCTGCGCTTTAACGCGCGCTGCTACTCTGTACAGCGCGTTGAGGCTGCCTTATGTAGAAATTTTTCAAAGTTTCCTTTCAATTTTTTTTTGTTTGGCTCTAATATGTGTGCTTTGTACGTAAGGCTATAGAAGCTCGCACAAAAACACCAGTTCTCCCACTATATTTTTATCGAAGCAGTTCCTTAAGATTCTTCGAACTTCGGGTATTTACGCATTATTTCATCATTTTTCATCGGTAGTAAGTAATTCCAACTATCTCCTCGATTTCGTATGAAATACACGCCTGGTCGAAAACGCGCTCTGACAATTAAAACATGAGATAGATGCCAAATAAATTACAGGAAACACCACCGTGAGAGAAATGCATGACTGCGCATGTGTGTCACGCAGTCCGAGATGTTCCAAAAGTTTGCTCATTGGTCAGTTTGAGGCATGCTCATTCATATGATTTCAGTGATGTCCTTCCTGTTGGAATGTTTCAAGCAGAAACCATTCGAACGAATTGTGCTCACCGAATATCATAACAAAAAAGTGGCTGAAGGAAATGTCGAAGAAGAGGAGAAAAGCGAAGAAGACACTGGTGACAGGAAGGAAGAGAAAAGAACTCAATAGCGATCGAGGACCAAGGCTACAGGAGGGGCCATTTCGATGTGAACTGGTCCCTTTCCGTTAGTCGACCCCATCTGTTCGCAATAAGGGACATCGAACTCTATGTGCTCTTCGAATAGGTCTTCTAAGGGATCCATGTAAAAACGCAGATCCTTCATTGTCCTTTGATAAATAATTCGCCCAATAGGTCCACTACTGAATATTAATATTGAACTGGAGAATAACTAGCCTACTTCTTGAAAGCATACAAGAAAATCTTAGTGTTAATTTGAGGGTATTCTACACTTATTCATCAGGGATCGGGTATGTCTTACCTATGTGCACTTAGGATATATCGCCGTAATGCTATGGCCTTTTTTTGAAGAACGGAATACATGTGCATGATAATTGATTGATTTTAGTGGTGCATTGTGTCATAGAGTACGCAATTGTACTATTGTTTTGTTAAGTTTTTCTTTTCTCTCTCTATTTTTCCCCCTTCATGACTTTCGTTTCTACCGAGTGGGACTCCACGTGTTGCTGTTCATTTTTTGCGCCGGTGAAATAGTTGCTTTCATCTTGCTTGCGTGTGTATATACATACATTTCTATATCAGATTGTTTCACGCCGTTCACAATGATGTGATGCTTGCTCAAATGTGATACGTTTGTTGAATTTTTACAAGAGATAAATTTTCAGAGCTTGATTATTTTTGTTTACGACCACTAAAAACTATTTTTCACAAATTTCGTGCGAATTCATATAGTACTGTTTTGTTCGCTGCAAATGGTGGGGCGTGCCAGTGAGGCTATGTTGGCGAGCCGCCAGCCCGTTGTCCACCAGTTGTTGAAGCGGATAAGCGACAGCACTTGGTAGCCAATGACTAATGCGAATGATATGATTCAGCCTTGTCTATTGCTGGAACAAAAACGGAGAGAAAGGGCAGGCGCAGCGTCAAACTCATCACATTCCCCCTTGACACGCCCCTTCAGCCGCGACGGACAAGGCTGCAGGTTGCCACAGTCACCTACGCGCTCTGCCCGGTCACCTTTGCTGTGAAGGTGGGCCCGGCCTTTTGCTCAGCAGGGGTTCAAGGCTTAGAAACGCATTTCGCGGTTAGTTTGTGGGCGGAGACTGACAACCACTGTGTCTCCCTTACTGGTCCACCCTAACTTTTGATGTCAGTTTGAGAAAGGTCGCTCCAATGAGGAAGCCTGCGAATCTCCCGCCCATTTATCCCATGCCCGCTTATCGCGAAAAGTTTTGTCAAAATAGTTACATTCGTATCGCTGTGGAAGATGGGGCATGTCGAAGGGGATAGGTGTGGGCACGCTGCCCGCCCTCCTTTTTCATTCATTTTCTTTCAACAAGCGGCATATCTGTGCCATATCGTTCGTATCAGTCGTTTCCCACCACTTTAGTTACTCGCCTCAACGACCGGTTGTGAACGGGCTGGCAGCTCGCCAAACCCAGCCTCACCGACCCGCTTCGTCATCTGCAGCGAACAAGTAGAACTTGGTTTGGTTCAGATGATGGTGCGAGTCAGCTTCTCGCGACTGTTCAAAACGTACGACGAGCCAGTACCACCGAAAATTTCAAGCTGTTTGGGGGCTCAATAGATGACACCTCCTACAGTTCGGTGTCTAGCAACTTGGACTTCATGACTGACATTTAACCGGGATCCTCCAGCGGGTACCTCCTGCCTTTTTTCTGCATTCCCTTTAGAGTGTTCGTTTTTTTCAAGAAAAGGGCTCATCAATAAGATCACTAGCTCGCCTATTGCTTCTAAAGATACCCTATGCGATTGTAGACCGTACTACCTTATGTTTAGGTATGAAAATGGGGTGCTTATGACTTGTTTGTGAAGAAAAAAAGCAGTTGTTGAAAACGCCTCGAATGCGAACTGTACACCCACCTCCTGGATCATGGCCCTTGTCATGTACGAGCTGAGTGGATCCGTAGCTGCAGTAGTGTACCAGTTTCTCCGCTCAGAAAGGTGGGAGAAGAGCAGGTGGTAGCTCTACAGGCGTGAAGTTGAGAGCGCGCAGGAATGAGGGTGCATGGTAGTGGAAATCAAGTGCCGTCTCCCTACTCCGCCCACGTCATCTTCAAGGTGCAGCACCTGAGCCGATACCAAAATTTTGCAGCGACCACGCAGTCAGAGGTAGAAAACAGTCAGAAGTGAGAGGGAGCAGGCAAGCAGCGTATTTAACTATGGTTGGTCGTGTGGCTGGTCGTTCAACAGCGTGGGCGTGGTCCAAGACACGCTACTGAGCGTACGGTTTACCTTTGGACCCGGCTCTTGCTCCGGCCGTTGATATCTTGTACATTACAAGCATAGGAGAGGTGGAAAGGCTAGGACTAGAGATCATGAGACGAAAGAATCGAAAAATGAGCGAGATGATGGGCAAAAACCCGTGACAACCAACGTGGAATGCCCACTGCGCCTATGGCACGCACCTACTGGGCGCAAATCGTGCGCCTTTGGCGCTCCTTTTCGCGCAACACGCACAGCTGATGGCCATCACAGATGTTCCGCTCATCGAAAATGTGCTACAAGCTACTGTAGAAGAACACTGAGTACTGCAACATTTCATTGAATTCACAATACTATTTCTTAGATAAGATTATGCATATCAGTCTAAATATCAATACTGCAACTTCTATAAAGGACATGATACAGACACCCATAAGTACACCGAGTAGACCGCCCAGGTTTGAAATGAAGCGATTAAACTGAAATACATGGGCATCAAACGATTCGCTTCACTGATCGAGAATGCTCAAGAAGCGTAACATATACACTTAAAGACACATGGTACGCTCAAACACATTGAGGGTGTATGAGACTATCAGCCCCCCAGCTGTCGATGTGTCGTGGTCCCCCGCCCAAAACTGCACGGGGTCAGAGTACGGGGCCGTGGGAAAGTCGTAATTCCTTGCTACACCGCCCACCGTCCATTTCGTAAACTCTAACACCGTCCGCGCGGACGCATAAGAGGAGTTTGGCGTGCAGCTCATACTGGCTGTAAAAATTTGCCAAAACCTGCGATTGCACTTTGGAATAAAAATGCAACGCAAATTTCCTTTATGAGATAACATTTTAGGTGCTGCAAAATAAGAACCGAAGATGATGACGAGGGCTAGAACTCAAGAGCAACTGTGGTGCTTCTGCAATATCCCTCAGAGGCCGCGCATTCCCACAGAGCATGACAATAAAAAAACCAAACAAGGAAGAAACACAATATATATAACAACAGAGCGTACCACTCGTGTAGTGGAATAAGAAAAAAATAGCATTGGAAAATAAGAGAAAGAGGCAACAACGATTTTAATTAAACTTGCCGTTTCCTTCAAGTTAAATTTATCTTAGCAAAAATAATAATATTTCTACTATGATATAATCATCATCACACTCTCACTATTCGGGCGGTACTTGAACATGAGAAGGTTACCTCGACATAAGAATGGCTTGTATGTGTGTGTTTACAGACTTGTCCCTTTTTCATCTGTCATGTCTGTGGGGAATGCGCGCCTCTGAGCAGATATGCAGAGCTTTTTTAGTCTCTCACATCTTCGTTCTTATTTTGCAGCACCTAAAATGTTATCCGCATAAAGAAATTGCGTTGTACTTGTATTCCAAAGCGCAATTACAGGACTTGGCAAAAAGCCAAGAGAGCTGCACGCGACACGCGCCGCGCGGACGGTGTTAGTAAAAAGAGTTTGCGAAACTGGACAAGGCGTGGAAGGCTCACGACCTTTCCCCGCCTCGCGCTCTAGACCCGCCAGTGGCAGCGGTTTGGACGGGGGGGGACGCACGAAACATCGACAGCGGAGCTGAGTGAGAGGTCGATACACGGCTGTTCGAGCGTTACCATAGCACGCGTTTACGAAGGCGCGACAGAGGTAGGAATAACGACGGAGGGAAAATAATATATACAAAGCGAGCGGTGCGGAAGCGTGCGGACGTGGAGAGAGCGAGGAATGTGAGGACCAACCAAGCAACAGGAGGCAAGTGAGACCTCATGCCCCCCCCAGCGAATGTCAGCGAGTGCCCTCCGGGTGTCGTACTTGCAGGGATGCAATGATAAGGTAAACAAGAATTTACTATCAGGGTGTGAGTAAGAGTGTGTGCGAGAACAACAGCTGGTATCTCCAAGCGAGTAGGAAGGTAAGGGTGATTAAAACGTCATCTTTTGCAAGAAGGCCGCACGAAGGGGAGAGACAACCAGATTCACAGTCCAATTTATAGACCGTGGTGTGAGTGGGGCCTCGTAGCTGCCTGGTAATATTCAGGTACCTCGATGATATGTTTCCTCGACCGTTCTGTCGTTTTCCCATGTCCAGGACCTAGCCAGAGTTTCATGGAAGGGATGGGATCGCCCGTAAGTGGCCAAGGTTTTGTCCCATGAAATCGAGGCTACACCAATCTTCCGGATCGGAATAAACTGGCATAATACGACTCCGCCTGAGTTAGACCATGCCGATCTCCGAAAACTACGACCTGCACAATATCTGACAAGGAGCAGCAACTATCCTCTCCGCGGACCCCAAAAGCTATTGTATACAGGGCATGGCATTGTTGGGCGCAACTCATCCGTCTTCAACGCGGCGCTATACATATATAAGCCCTTTACCTATTGGCGCTGCACATCAGAATGTTCCCTGTTTCACATCATCACAGCAGGGCGCTTTGTACCTAAGGAATCCCCAGCAAGGGGTCGAATTTGGTCGCTGGAGCGAAGGGGGGGGGGTCTGCGATTTTTTTGATAATTAATGCTCTCTGGTTTCAGTTCAGTTGATACCACTAGGAGACTAAGTTCTAGAAAAATTGAGGAAATTGGAAATAAGCCAGTAAGGTGGTGGGTATCATGGGGAAGCGAGAGGGGAGAGAGGGGGCCGTGTTTGACAGAATGTTCCCTGTTTCAACTAGTTCTGATAGTTGATGAAAGGTAATCTACCCCCTCCCCTTCTCGCTGGACTGCGAAATGTTGGCGATGCCACATCACTGGTTAAGCGAGGCTGTGAACCCGTCAGAGACAGTGCAGGGGTCATACCGAAGAGGACAGTTTAGGGAAGACGGGTTGAGTACTAGCACCATTTCACCCATTCTGATGCCGTTCGCTGGTATTATACAGCCAAAACGCATTGAACATGCCTCTACAGTTTAAGAGGGAGATATAATGCACGGCGCATCCCGAGAATAACAAAAATTGTTAAAGACCTCCGAAGCGGATTGAGTTCGATGCCACTCGACAGAGTACTGTTGGTTGGTACATGGCAAGGGACAGACACAGGAGTCCCAAGTCGAGGGATCTTTCCATGTTTGGCGACAGCTTCGTCAATGCATGATCCTAAAAAAACACTCTTTGCCTATAAAAAATGGATCTGCAAGTTCACTCACTTTTTGCGAGTTCGCATGTTATTGCACCTGGGGCCACTGGATACCGTGGATCCATACATTGGCACTCTTCCAAAATCATATCCTGATAGCAGGAACGGAGGCATCCCTACAGTTCGATAGATTGCTGGACCACAATTTAAAGATATCCACAATGTTCAAATTTTCTCACAGAACAAGATGTTGCCAACAAGAGATGAAGTGTAAGGATTTTGCAGAGGTACAACTGGTACAGAAATAACAACAGCTCCGCGATTATTGAATCAACTTCTTCTGAGAGCAGTTAACTTATAGACATGATTCCTCCTCCCTGCTGTATATAAACTCACCCTAGTTTCGACGAGGGCAGCGAAAGAGGTATTGATGGTGTCACGCGCGCGCGCATCCTTACCAGGACCCAAGCGGTTCAAGGTAGTACGTGGTAATGTTGCGCTATGTAAAATATCTAGAAATTGATCCCTACAAAATGTTGTGACTCGACAACTTTTTGGAGTTTTACCTAGAACATAAATTTAACCCACGCCTCCCAGCCGCTACTCTGAAAACGCGCGGTCCTCACGGACTGAACGCTCAGTAGTGTTTGCGGCGATGCCGCTTAGCGTTTTTGTGGGCGACCGCGCGGGTACTAACGGCCAAGTTGGGAACGAAGGGCTAACGAGACTTCCGGTGGCGACCCCCTAATGAGTGCGGTGTGCGGCCCCGACGAAGAAAAAGCGAGGGAAAAAAATTAAGGAAGACCGGGAGGAGGGGGGCGCGGGAATGAGCGAGAGGAGCAAGGAGACGGAGAAAGCAGGAGAAGGGGGTAAGAGGCGGAGAGGGGCGGTGTCGCCCCAATGGAAGCACTTCTCTTGTCCGATGGAACAGCTATCGGGTCAGCGGAAGGTGCAGACCCAGCAGTGGGTGGCAAGGAAGACCACTTTACCAGTGCGGAAGGGGGGGAGGATCTCCCGATACTCTTATCCTTACATGAACACAAACCCATACCTCCCCTCCACCTCAGCGAGGCTGTCATGTGAAGGGGATGAGTATGGCATTTATGGGTAGGGGTGTTGGTGACGGTTAACTACCGGAGAGAAGGAAGGGTCGGGGGGCTGGGCTACGGTACTGCTTTTGCGACAGCCTATTGGGGTGTTGAGCTGTTGTTGTGCGGTAATTTCTGCTGCGTGGGGGCCAGGTAGATTCGTAACAACCGGGTACAAGTTATCCCGTCGGGTCATTCGAATCCACCATCACAGGAAGAACAAGAACAGACAAAATCTTTGAAAAGGTGGAGCAGGAATGGGTAGATAGTGCCGAAACTTCCAAAACACCTTCCTCTTCCTGTTGATTTTCAAATTTTAATTCTTCGCTATTTCGTTGCCCTAAGCAATCTGTGAAACTAACGTCTGTGGTGTACATTCCATCGTAGTAATAGGCTTTCACTTCTGATGGATCATTCACGCATACTCCATATTTGCCAGCAAGCCGTGTATATTTTGTCTGCAACATAAAAGTCGACACCATAATAAGACAAAATCATTTTGCTTCAGTCATCGTGTTGTGTCTTCGCCCCATCGTAATTCGCCCACGGGATGAATTACGAAACAATTTAGGGAAATAAAATATCTGGTGTGCCAAGGTGGGGGGGGGGATGGACAGGAAATTCGCGTTGCAGCGAAAGCTTCAGTGTCCTTCATTCTGTATGTGAGCCAAGAATCAAAAAGTCAATCGAAATCGTTGTTGATTTTCTGGTGGTGGTGGAGCACGGAGGGGGTAGGTGGGGAAGAATGGGGCAGTAAGCGAGAATAGGCCACGATCCTTCCCTTCTCTGAAGTCGCTGAGGAGGCTAAGGCTGTTGATTACACTAGCACTGAAAAAGCATCGTCTCGTTAACACATTGACGACGAGCCATTTTCTTCATGACTTGCGCATGGGACGGCACATTTTTCTTCGTTGAAATTCAGTAATTTTCAAATAAATCAATGATTCTGATCCAAGAGTATTAAAGACAGCCCCCGCGCTCAAGTAGTACATGGTCGTCCTTCCTTGTGCAAGTAGTTCAGCCCCCAAGCTAGAGACTGTCCCACTCTCGCGACTCCACAGAGCGAGCTACAGCCGCTGAAAGTTCTAGTTCTAACGCCCGCCCAGTTGGACCGCCCACTTGCTAGATGCCCTCTGACGGAGAGCCGCTCAGTTGTTCTTTGTTGGGACGGCGGGCATTAATCGGAACTGCATGTACTTTTTGCTGACCGCGCTCGTGCCCATAAATAATTCTGCTCTCCTTTATTACATTTTATTGGGAGCACATACAGTCAACTGCAACCCATCTCGCAAGGTAAAACGCGTAAAAATCACGAGTGATGCAATTTTCGTGGAGCTCGTGG